ACATGAAAGGATGGAGTTTCTGAAATGTTTACGAAATTGTGCATCGCGTTACATGCATGATGGATGATTAATGCATCAAAAATTCCTTCGTAATTACAATTGCAAAGTCGCTGTGTATTATGTTCGTGTGTATATGAATGCTTTGTGCGCACGCGAGGACCTCGATGCGAATCTCGTAAAATCTAATTATAAATCGTACCCGAAAGAGCTTTTCGCTAACCGGCGCCCAGGACGTCGCCAAATGTCCTATTGCAAGTTAAATAGCTAACAAAACGAATGAATATTTGCATATTTTATATACGATCATAAGTTATTTAATAATATTAGTTTTCGAACTTGCGGATTATTTTTTTCAAATGATATTGTATTATTATTAATAATAATAATAATAATTTATTGGCCAGACATCAATACAAATGAAAAAAAGTATATTCTATAAATAAATGATAATAATAAAAACTAAAAAATTATAACAACTCTCAAAATAAATAAATTCTAACATAAAATTAAAAAAAAAATATGCTGGCCAAAGAGCTATCGACCGTGGTATTTCCTCCTTTGTATTATTATTTTTTTGTATCTCGAAATATAAGGAAATACTCTTGCCTTTCCTTAGTGTACTAAATATAGATGTGAGGCAGACATATATGCCATCCAACTGTTTGTTGGATTTTCTAGAATTCATATATCATCAATATTTTCAACCTTATTTTTCATTAATTCGTCACGTACTAATTATAATAATTTTCAGTATTAGCGATGTAGTAAAATCTAGTTTTCTTTAGTGTAAAATTAAGGTAAAATTAATTTAATCATAGCAAGTATGTATGACATAACAATAGGTTGGTAGTTTAAAGTCGATTAACGAAGATTGATCTTAACATACAAATTATTTATTGAAGCAGCTGAAACAACTTTGGTATATCAAAGTTTTATATTTTATTTGAGTGGATATTTCATTATCAGTATGATGTATCAAGTTAATTATTTTGAAGCCCTAATTATTTCCGTGTGAATAATGCTCCCACGGTCAATTGGTTCCTAAATTAATGTATATTTAGTCTAATCTGTGAAGATCTTCATGAATATGTATAGTTGATAATTCAAGATAATAATTGATAATTCTCGGAATGCGTTTTCGGGTGGAACAGCCTCATTAGCGCGCGCGTTACACGTTTCGAGAGTCGTGCGATGCCGTAGGGAAAGTACCTTGGTCATCATCAGCCTCTTCTTCCACTTTGCTTAAGGTTCGAATGCCTGTGTTTTTAGTGTTGCGCGTGTGTTTGATTTGTCTTAGTCATTGCGCGTACGAGAGGCTAATGATAAGGCATTAAAGACAAGAAATGCGTGCATGTGTGTGTCTGAAGGAAGACGGTGTTCCGAAGAAGCGCACAATCATCATCATCATCATCATAATCACCATCCTCGGAACGGAGCCGACTCGGAAATTAATATGTTAAATGATAAACGGGACGACGTTTTAATACATTTTCGTTTTCTCGCTCCTTTCTTCTTCTCCTACAATATCGCCACATCTCGGTCCTTATTACCAAGCAATGAAGAATGGAAGACCAACAAAAGTAAAAAAAGAAGGAAAGAAAGGAAGGATGTGTAACAACGCGAGAACACGCACGCGATTATCTCTTCTTCTACACCCGTTTAATAATATTTAATTTTCGTGCATGCCTTTTTCTTCTCGTGCATTTTTTTTCTTCATACATCGAGTTCACACTTAAATCACTTACGCTAATTGCCTTTGTCACGATTCGACGGTTCTTGAACGAGAAGCAACATCAATCGCACATCCAATTTATCAAAATGTACATAATCAAACAGAAAATAATTAATCAAGCGCAATTTACAATGAATCCCATCCAACTTATAAATAAATATTTCGTAAAATCTGAAATTCAGTCGGTTTTGTGACCCGTTCGGCGAACAGATGTTTCGTTACGGGAAGAAACTCGGATGTGTTTATTTTTAAATAAATTAAATTGAAGGTATTGCCGAGACACGTCTTTATTGTTTTTGCCCGTTCTGGGTCAAAGGGCTCTATCTCTCTCTCTCTTTTCTTCCATGTCGAGGCTAAGCTTCTTCAGTCAATTAACTTTCACGATATTTTCCTATTTGCCTCGTAATGAAGTGCAATAAATTAATTCCTGCACGTACACATTCCACCCAACTGCAAACACACAAAAATCGGATTTCCGATAAAATTTTGATTTAAATGCGTTTTCCGTGGGAAACGGCAACAAACAAATGGAAGCTTTCAAAGAAACATATTTTGTTATTTCTATTCTTTGATTTATTACATCTGTTACTAACGATTATAGATTTTTATTAATGTTTTAAAAGTATTTTAATAGCGATGCATAAGAATTGGAAACTTTAGATTTAAACATCTTATACTAAATATTTGATAAATTAATTATAATATTATTATGTTATTCTTAACTTTTGCCCAATTTATCTTATGTAATTCAAATACATATGAGAATAACAATTTTAAATACAAGTTTTTTCATTTGAAAATGAATTTTCTAAATAACATAATACCTTATTATAATATCTTATTGGAAAGTAGAATATATAAATTTGTATTTTTTGTTTATCATTTCGTTGTTTCGATAAATTTTGTTCTGTTAATCCAGAATCAACATCTTGTTCTCGTTTCTTGCAAGAGAAATTACCAGGTGAACAAGCATTTTGTAATATATATATACATATAATGTACAACGAAGTTGGTGTTCAGAAGAAACGGAGATAGCTTTCCACTCCGCATTTTTCGCTCTGTACAAGAGATGAACCTCTGGTGTTTGCCTCTCCTTTTCCCGTCCTTAAAAATTCAAGTAGATAAAAAAGAAATGATCAGCGGAACACATGTTGGAGGAAGGAATGGAACGGGAGCCGTCGCGGAACCGGATGGAAGCGGCGCAAACGGCGGTTTCGCAGGGTCCGCGCATAGGGATCAGCGTCTTGAACCGCGATCCATCTGAACCGATATATTAATTTTCGTCTGGATTTTTCCGAACAGATGTTACCAGTCGTTAATTTCCTTCTTTATTTATATTTACGTGCGTGCGTTGTATACAAGTTTCCTCGCCGTCTCTCTGTCTTTCTGCCTCCGCGAAGCTCGTGCTGAAATTCCGACGCGTTACACACGCGGCATCTTCCACTCATTTCATTCCTTTTTTTCCACTTCTTCTCCTTCGTCCTCATCTCCTCTCCACCGCGCTTTATCTTCCTTCTCTGCTGCTGCTGCCGGTGCCTCCCCATTTCGTTTATTTAGAAAACTTGCTAATTGCCCGGATTCCCGGAACACAAAGAAACCTTGTCTTTCCTTCTGCTCCCGCTGGTCCACTCCGCAATTTATATTCACCAAACGCAAAGTCATCCGCAGACGGAACGAACGAACGATCGAAAAAAGAAACAGGTAAATCGGTAAGGGGCAATTCGCGAAGAGAGAGACTCAATTCGGAGCGGCCGGCATTTAATTGCCGACGTTTAAATGTTTTCGCGTTTACATTCATTACACGCGCTTGCACAGGACCTATCGTCGTTCCGAGTACATTGTTGCCCTTGATCCATTCAGAAGAGACGAAGGAAAAACCAATTTCCCAGATCTGTCTCACTTAGGTAGAAACTTTCGGATTTATGTGCGCTCGCGTTTAAGGCAGCAAATATCTAAGTAAGAATTCGAAATGCGTGTGAAAGTATTGTTTTTTGCTGTTGTTGTTGTCGTCGCGCACAGTTGTTCTGCACAAAAGTTGTGAATGAACGTTTCTTTTCTCGCGCTGAGCATTATCATCATCGGTAAGGAAATGAATGAATCGCGGACCCCGCGCTGTTTTTTCCTGCTCACTCGATTCGAAAAAGGAAAGAGAAGCCAAAAAAGAATCGCGGAATTGCATTTGTAAATGCGAATGCATACAAATACAGACATCGCCAATAAAAGTCCATGTCTCCTCTATGTTTGTCTCTTCTTTCTCTCTATATGTGTGACTCGGTGTGTAGTATGTTAGTAGTGTAAAAGGCTCTCGTTCTCGATTAGTTCATCAATTGGCCTGTGCGTTTGTACTGAGCAAATTGAGTCGTCTTCATTCACACTTTGTGAATGCTGCTGCTTCTTCTTCTCCTCTTCCTTTTAGCTTCTCTTTCAAAGAAGAAGCAGAAAAGGACGAAGAAAAGGAGGTGTACTCGCGTGCATGCACTATCTGCTCCTTTTTTTGGTATGCGCGATTTCCAAAACCGTCGCATGACCATTTCTGGGCCACTACGAAGCCCGTTTTTGGAAAAGCGGCGCCCCGAGTTTATTAACACCTACAAAATACCCTTTTCCGGTGGAAACCCATATTTGAGCTCGTTCCCACAGTTCGATCCCTCTAGGGTTCTTGTACCGTATTTTCCTCCAATACCGCATTCCTGAAATACAAATGATCAGGATATTTTTCTTCATTCATTCAACTAGGATTAGTTTTTTTTCAAATCACGTAACTGTAATATTGCTTTGATTGTTTAACTCTCTATTATGTAATTAGAAATCAAATTCATTTTAGTTTACATAGACGTTTTATATATTTTGTTGTTTAATGTAGTCTCTACATTTGTCAGTAGTTATTTACTCATCACCATCTAAAATAGACAAATCAAAGCAAAAAAAACATTTTATCAACAAGTAATTTGAAGTAACTACATTATAATAACAAAAGAAATGGGTATAATGCAAATATTTAGCAATATTTTTAAGAGCGACATTATTGTATATCTACTTGATTGCGAAACAGAAACTTATTGAAGTAAACAATGTATCAATCAAATCAATCAAGTAATCAATCAAATTTTCAGTTCAGAAAAGCTAAAATGAAGCATAATAATCAACAATAATTGTATGAAATGAAATTCTGAATCTTGTATTAGTTCCAATCAGATTCGAACATGTATACTTATTTAACAATGCTGAAATATGAAATATTAATGTGTTGTTCTCGTTTTTGTTACAGGCCTATGAATTGTCAACGCTAACAGGAACCCAGGTGATGCTACTGGTAGCTTCAGAGACAGGTCACGTCTATACATTTGCGACGAGGAAGTTGCAGCCGATGATCACGAGCGAGGCTGGAAAGGCGCTGATCCAGACATGCCTGAACAGTCCGGATCCGCCGGCCGGTTCCGCGTCTGGCGACCAGAGGATGTCAGCCACCGGCTTCGAGGAGACGGAGCTCACGTACAACATCAGCGACGAGGACTCGAAAGTAAGGCAAATGGTTTACGGCTCGCCGCACACGCACACGCACGCACATTCGCTGGGCGGCCAGCACTATTCGCACCTGGAGCAGACCCATCTGGGTCTGGGTGGTTCGCCTCAACACGGCGGCTACTCCCAGGCCTGTCCCAGTCCCCTGCCGCCGCCTCATCAGGCGTACGGCCATCCGCAGCACCCACATTCCCATTCTCACATGTCCCATCAACGATAAAACACTATACAACTATCTATCCATATCTATACACTATATAATAAATAAAAAAAGAAAAAAATAAAGATTAATAATTCGTTGAAAAAAAAATATAATAAATAAATTACAAACAAAAAAAAATAAAACATTATTAAATTATATAAATTTTATATTATAAGATCATTTGCAAAACTAAAAAAGAAGCACACTTAACTTAGGTAACTTAATTATAGCGTACGTCGTTTCCGTCGAAACATCCGTCCTCCCTTCAACCCCTAAGACAAACCAAACCAAAACAACCACAAATAAATAAGTGGCGATTCCATTAGCAACGAAAGATACACGAAATATCGGCATGTAGCTGAAATATGCAAACACATTTACATACACTTGAGAATAATCTGAATTGTCATCAATTATATTTTTAATGCAACATGATTTTTTTCATTACAAAAAGCATATTGTTATATAAACAAATATATTTGCAATGTCCATAGTCATAGAATAAGATGGAACACCTGATCCACAGACAAAAAAAAACATATTTTTCATTCAATTTCTTATTTGTCTTTTCCGCCTCCATCGTTTCGGTCGTATATCTTTGAACGCGTTACTCAGAGTGTCCATTATTGTGGTCATTCTACATATCGTTATTATTATAATCATAATGGCATAATAAAAAGAAAGGGCGGAAAAGAAATAAAGAGAGGAGTCCGGCCAGATGAAATAAAACTGAAACAAGTTGACCGACTTAGTTGAATAATTCATCCGGAGACCTCACGCATAGGAACGCGAGATTTATTTAGTTTCCCACCGCGCGCACGCCTCGCGCTCTTTCACACACACACACAACATCTATACATACACACACTTAAACACACGTACATATATATACGCGATTACGTACAAACACACGCACAATTTGGATAAAACAGATGTTCCTTGACGGGCGTCCCATTTCGCGCATTTTTCATCCAAAATTCCATCCGACCCGGAATGCGAAGCATGCCCGAGCACGAGATTCCCGGTAAAAAAGAGAATTTCATCCCGACGCAAAAACCGTCTACTGCTGTCAGCATTCTGCCGAGTGCGCAGAGAGCAAACTAAAATAATCTCTAATTTAAATCATACTTTCAGAATGTGTACAAACTAGCCAACTATGGTCATGGAGATGCACACAAATATTTAATATTCAATTGGCTTTTTGTAACAAATTTAAATATTTTGAAAAAAAATGAAAAGTTAAACTTATTGATGGATGTTGTTCATGTTAAACATAAGACAAATAACGAATAAATTAATAAAAAATACATATTTCATTAACTAATTTGCTTGTGAAAATGTGTTTGCATATTACAGTCATACAAATGACATCGTTGACGTTTACAACAATTGAGTAGATAAATCGAAAGGAAGTAAAATGATTTCGTGATCCCAAAAAAGGCCTTCGATTTCTTCCAACGCCGTGTGGGCTCATACATTTGCGACGGAAAATAAGTAAACGGTGGCGTCTAGCTAAGCCCACGTACTAGAGAGCTTTTTTCGAAATTATATCATACAAGAGCCATTAAGAAAAAAAAAATCGAAACCTAAAAAACACAAGCGAAAAAAACCTACGGAAAGCAAAACTTTCGAATTTCAAAATTGAGCCGTCTCGCGAGGCTCGGCCGGAGGATCTGGTTTCGGAAATTGGCGCACGTACTCACGAAACAGTCAGCCGTAGCTTCCGCTTCCGCCGGAAATCAGAATCGAATCGTGAATGTAATTCGATTCATCGTAAATAAACGATGATTACGATGGCGACGATGATGATGATAATAGGAATAATATACTGTATTGTGTGCGTGTGGAATCGCCGCTAATTTATCGAAGACGATGCGTGGCGTGGCGATCATGTGGCGTTTCTTCTATGCATTATTTTATTTTGTTGCTGCTGTTTGTTGTTTGCTGTTGTTGTTGTTTGTTGTGCATGTTTAGCGCATTTTTTTTTTATTATACTTTATATTATTATTACTCCATTTTTAGAATTTATGTGCCATTTCTTTGTAACGCAAAAGTTTCGCGATGGAACACACCCAATGAAAAAAAAATGTACACGGCAACAGTATTTATCCTCACTGAAAACTCTTTCTGGAGAGCGAGAGAGTGAGAGTATCTTTGCGCCCACCTGTTTCTGCACATATACACATATACATGCATACGAACATACATATAAAACACACATACACGTCTTTTTTACGAAATCTCTGGCTGCTTTATTGACCGGCTTTTCGGTATTATTATGTTTCCTTCAACATTCGTTTCTGTTGTGGGAGGAAGGAAAAAAAGCGGAGAGGACCGCGTTGGCGTGTGTGTGTGTGCGTTATTTTTTTTTCTGGGTCAATGTTTCTTGTTTACTCATTTGTTTCTCCTTCTCGAAGAAGAAAAAGTCAAATTATAAGAAAAAAGAAAAGACATTCACGCGCGCGTCGTAACTCAGGGTTACATCCCCTCAAGAAAACACGCATTTTTCTTACACACACATACACACATTTATATACATACATATATTGAATAGGATATGAACAATTGATGGAAGCGAAGAGGCAGGTATCGTGTTGTTTTTCTCTTATAAATTTGTATATACTTAGATGCAAATGGTGTACAATGAATAGGTTTTTTTTTATTATTATATATATTATTTTAATATAATTAGTTATGTTTTATTATTTGTAAATAATTGTCTAGTACACGAGTACAAATTTGCAAAAAAAAAAGTAGAAGACAAAAATATATTATCATTACTGAAGTGGTCGAGGAGTTGTTTGAGCGGAGAACGAACAACCAGCAAAAGAAGGAACCTAAAGAATTCATTTGTGCCATCCGACATATGCAAAAGATGAGAAGAATCGAAAAACCTAAACGAATCGAGGTAATCAATCCAGTTGCGCCTGTACATAGTTATGAACTACATAAATAAACACGGATCCAAGGAGAAAAAGTAAAACTATTCTATCATACAATTATTTTTCCTCCCTTCAATTATGAAAATAACAAATGTGTTTATATATTATTATTATTATTTTTTTAATTTAATATTATTATTATTTCCCCTTTGTACAAAGTGTTTTATTTTTTTTTATTATTATTTTATTATACATATATTATTAATTAATTATGTAAAATTATTACGCATTCCAAGATTTAATAATAATTTATTATTTTTAAGCTCTTTTTCTACATCCTGTTTGTTCTTTTCTTTTTTTTTAACGCAAATCGCACTTGAATCTACTGAGAGAACACGACGAGAAAACAAAAAAAGAATTACATATGTTGTTATTGTATTTTGCCCCCCATGTTTTGTTTTTATATTTTTGTTTGTTTTACTGTGCCAGTGCTGACGTCTCGCTCTCTCTCTCTCTCTTTCTGTCTTGTCTGTCATTCTCAACTACTTCACACGAAAGTCAATTTATTATTATTTTTCGTAAAATGTGATAATAAATGAACATGTTTTTTAATGATTTATTTATTGTTTTTATTATTATGTCAATGTTTATTATTAACATGATCGCGTTACTTACCATTAACATTTCTTATTTCGAACAATTTGCTTGGATAAATTGATCGAACAGTATATGACACGTGTATCTGTCTATTATTAGAATGAAATTGACAGGTATATAAGAATATTGCACGAATTAACTTAAATGTTATTAAAATATTTTTATTTATATAAACCAATGTACCTTACATATTTTTATAATATTTTGGAAAACTTTGTTTAAAATAATTGTGTACGTAAAATACACATTTAAAGGTTATTAAATATTATAGAATAACAGACTTGTATTGCTTAAATTATATTAATCTTCTCGAGGAACATTAATTTGTAATTTATTTCTTATAAATTGCAAGAGAATATGTTCGACTTGGCTTCACGTGCATAAAATAAAACCTAACGGTTTCCCAGAATGTTTTATTCTTTCTTATTTTTTTTCTATTAGATGAAAACAATCTGTGGCAGTTTATTGGTACTATCCAATCCACTTGATGAATGCATTGCTAGTGTAGGTAATTTAAGCTGACGGCGGAACCATTCATTTCGACTTCGAGGAAGTTATGTTCTGTCGGCTCTTAAGTTCTTCTTTATAAATACGAGACCGAATTCAGGTCGCCACGCCAAATTTGGCATGGATGGACTAAAACCACAAAAAAAGTGACCGATTAATTACAAATCGTTAATTGATTTCTTGCTTCCGTTTTATACCTTTTATATTAAACCAAAACAAAAACGAATACGTGAGAACATTAACTGCGATAAATTTCTTTTCTAACGACAAATTATACATAATTACAGAAATTACATGTCATTTGCACATGTATTATGCGGGATTGAATTAGGATGTGAAGGTGGATTTATTCTGTTAAATCGTACTTAATAGAATTAAAAATGATTTTATTAATCCACAAAATATAGTAAATCTTTAAAAAATATAAAATACAATAACATTTTAAAATTAATACAATATATATGGTAGTAATAAAAAGGAATTATATTTTTAATAAAAAGCAAATAAACTATTATACATTAGTTTAGGGTACATATACATATTTTTATTATTATTACTATTTATATTGGAAGAAAATCTATCACTTTCATATCGTCCTAATTAGAACCAGAAACTTTTTAATCCATTTTTTTAATGTTGTCGAAATCGAACATATTCGAATTAGGAACTTTTTTTGATAAAGATGTTAATTTTAACTATCAATTTGACAGCGATGCATTTTTTTTCCTAATAAATTGATGACTGTATTGTCATTGGAATGTCATTTTTTGACATGACGTCGCGTTGTTTTCTGTTCCGGATAAAACCGGTGATGTCATTTGTTTCTCCTCGGAGCGCGTTCTGCGACGGGTTGTCTTTTTTTACCTTTTTCTCGTACCCTATTTTACTACACGATCTTTTTTTTTTGCAAAGCGTGTGCAGTTTTCTTATTACTCTTTTTATTTATTTTTGTTGCAAAATCCAACATTTTGTCACGTACTTTTTTTTTCTATATATATATACACACCATTCTTCCTTTCTCTCGTATATATTGCGAGAATCGTGTGCAACAGAACAACGCTTTATATGCGAACGAAAAGGGAGTTCAGTTGGAAATCTGCGAGAAATAATTGTTTTATATATAACCGAGAATGTCGTAAGTAAATTATGTAATTGATAAAATTTAATTGAATTTGCTGAAATTAGTTTCTTATATAATTTATTGATTCTGTGATATTTATTTTAAAAAGACAACATACATATAATTTAAACATTATAATTGTTAATGCAGATTTATAAAGACAAATGCGTTTAATACATTATTATTACGATTTTTTATTAAAATGAAATTTAAAAAGTGGCTTACCTGCTATATAGTTATAGAAATATACATAATTTGTAATTTTAAAATAAAATATTTATTATAAATTTACTTAGAAATCAATTATATCTAAGAACCGAATCACTTACCTTTTCATATACAACAGAGGAATTTTCTATTGTGTTCGCTGAAGCATCATACTTACTGTTGTCATTATAATATTGTTTTTTTTTTCTGAAATGAAGAAGTGGATGCTTAAAGGATGGATCTCTGTTTATCATCTCCCGTTTTTTTTTCTTATTGGGGTTGTAAATAAAACACGAGCGCGGAATTTCCAATTCCGATTTTATTTATTTATTGATAGAGCGAAGTAAGCCTGATACTGATGATGTAGGAAGAGAGGATTGCCAACGTACACATACATACATGTTAACAGAGAAAGAAGAACGGTGAAGGCGCGCACAATTGGATCGCCTCGCGCATGAAATATTTATTCTTAAAGCCCTTATCAGCCATGTCGCATCTGCACAATTTCTTCTACACTAAATCGAACAGCAAACATACATAAAATAAACGAAAAAAAACATATATAAAGATGGTTTAGCGTATAAGTAAGCACGCGAGGTGCATTTACTAGAGGCAAGTGAAAAAATATATAATATAATATAATAAAACGAAAAAGATGCATTAAGAACGGATGTGATGGCTTAATTAATTTTCCTATCTTAATCACGAGTAAATTAAATTCAAAATATAAAAAAACAGCTGTAATAATATATGTACACTTAATGTTATGCAAACGCATTACATACTTATGCTTAGATTTATGGCACTTTGGGTTTACTTAAGTGATTAATAAATATAATCAACAAACGGGGATTTAATGTCGTCCGAACTATGTTTTATGAAGCGTCGGATCGTTAACTTAATTAAGTTCTAGTCAGTCTTACGAAAATCTAATTCTTAAAAAAATAAACAAACTATGTTCAATTCGCGAATAAATCAAAGTATGAAACAGTTAAAGCCATAGTTCAGTAAGCGAAAAGCAATTCCCTTATAAATAAATGAAAAAATACAAATTGTAAAATTAATTAGAATATGTTAACTTATTGTACAATAGTGTAGGATCACAGTCGTAATATTTTAAATATGCATTTAGACTAAAAGTATTTAATATTAATTAATAACTATGAGCACCATATAGAAAAATCTAGAATATAATGAAAATTTGGTTTACGTCTAAATTACTGTGATCATTTGTATATTATGAACAACATCTGTAATAAATATGAAACGAAAAGGAAAACAGCAATCATTGATAGTAATGTGTACACCTTAACAGATTTTCTTTGATATTATTTCTAAGAAGTGAAGTGTAGAAAACCTTTTTTATCGAAGCCCCTTTATCAAAGTCACTTGGAATGATGAAGGGGAACAGTTTTTGAATACGCCTAGTACTCCATTTGATTTTATTACTCTCTTCCCAAGGCCTATTTATAAATCGTTTTGCCGCCGAGCCGGTCGTTGTGCGACTCCTTTCAGATTTTCGAAATTGATATTGGGTAGTCAATATATATAGAGAGAGAAGCAAATGGCATGTGGACAAGTGTCCGATGATAGAAGGACGCTTTCGCGCACCACCGGTCTCCTCTCCCGGTCATTGCTGACAAGCAGCAAAAGGGATATCAAGACACCTCGAGGCGCTTGTTCTCGAGTAATATAAAATGGGAACTTAACTGGCGTGTAAGCGCGGTAGTTGCGGTGGTAGCTGAGGCTGCCGAAAGAGTTTTCGGGGAACCGGTCTTTGATCTCAGCACGCCCACGCTCTCTGCTCTTCGTCGGACGGTGGTGGTAGTAGTACCTCGCATCGCGTGTTCTGATCTTCCTCCTCTGCTGCGTCCGATGTTTGTTTGCTCCGGAGGACGACCCTGCAAAACAGACCCAAAACGGTTTCTTTCGAGCTCGTGCGTTGTCTCTTCGGAGGAGGATAATTGGGGCGCGCTGTCGCGACTACCGGTGTTGATTTTCGGGCCTCCTCCTCCTACTCCTCCACTTACCGCAAGAACCAGTTTGGCCGCGCGCCCCACATTATCACCGACCAATATCAAACAACACCCGAGCTAATTACACACTACTTCAATTCCGAGCATTCCCCAAAACCCAAAAGTTGTTGGAAGCCCGGCAATCTATAGTGATCTTACACCTAGTTAAAATAGTTGGAACTTATTAAAAGCTGGCAACCGTTTCCATCGGGGAAATTCCTCGAGCGAATTCCTCTCAAAGGCAACTTAATTAAATCCAAAAAATATTCACCAAGTGCAACAACATATTTATCATTTTCTAAATAAGAATTCTACATTCATTATAAAATTATCCTTGTGATTATAATCTTATATAAATTTAATATTATGTAATTATTTATTACACATTCGTATTCTTTATATTACAACAAAATATTAAGTTTTTTGTATTTAATTTAAATTTTATGCGAAATTTCTACCTCAAGAAAAAACTAAATTAGTCAAATTAATAAAAATATTTAATAATTTTTTATCTAAAATATACAATTCTTTCCTAATTAAATGTAAAATCCTTGATAACAGATTTGCAACAGTTAACGTTTTGTTTTTTTTTATTATTATTTAAGTAAAATCCGGAGGCTTTCACAAATAATTGCAATCATTTTATAAATATGTTACTAAAATAATATGTAGTAACTATTTTTATGGGATTAAAATTTATTTATTTTATTTTTAATCAATTTTTGGTGTGTCTGACTCTTATATTTAGAAATTTTTTTCATTTTTGAAAAGAGGAATATTTGCGCAAATCTTTAATATTCATTTAATATTTTAATATTTCATTCAATCAATATGTACACGATTATTAAGTGTTCTTTGAATATTATATTACCAAAGTTATTTTTATAATAAAAACTATTATTGTTGTTTTATATTACTTTTATATCCAAGTGAATAATATTAGGAAAAAGTAATATTTGAATTAAAATACAAGTTAATTTAATGACTTTAATCCATATGAGAATGCATGTAAATTGTTATTAAAATACACTCATCAGAAACTGCAAGAAAAGGGGGAAAAGTCAGCTCACAAGATTTGTTCCTAATTAAATAGTAAAACGCTGAGATTTGCGCAAATATTTACATCTGGAAATTAAATTAATTCAAATCCCAAGTTATGGGTTGTCTTTTAAACTCCGCACCGTACGATGCGATCAGCAGTCTCGTTTTGGAATAAAAACAGATAAATTTATATCCATCGCGTAACCCTTTTTATTTCTTCTTTTCTTTCTTATCTACTTCTTATACTTATTTCGGGCTGCGATTTCCCACAGTCTAACGGACCGGTCGTGAATTATCATAACTACATTCACACGCGCGACTCATTTTCCTTTTTTCAAAATCCGGATTTTTCGCGCTTTCCCACCGCCACTCGGATCTCATTAATTGTCGATTTAATTAACAAACCTCGACTACACACTAATAAATACCAACAATAATTATGGCGTTATTAAAACATTCAGCTTATTTCGAAATAATAAAAGCATGTAATGAAACCAAGTAATATAGTATTTATTTCATTATCCAAATCGTCTCTTCATGTTATGATTTATACGCAAAGTCTAATTAATGTTAAATTATTTATTATAAACATAGTTACCACAATGCTAAAATAAACATATACTAGTGCAGTATTAATTAGATTGTGCAATAAGTAGGTCCTGTTTAATTATCGTAATATTATCAATATCCTATTTTAATGAAATTCAATTTATTGAAATAAAAAAAAACTATGTAATCAAATCGTTGCACAATTGAAACCATGTTTTCTGCAGCGACTTTGAAAAAAAAATGCAACAAATTAATTGTTTCAAGGATAATCGAAACGCCATAAAAAACGACAATTATTCGTTGTTTTTTTTTCTTCATCTAAAGAATTTCAGTAGTTTGACCTCAATTTGCGTGGTGCATAGTTCGCCTCTCTCGTCGCGTTTAATTATCGCCGTTGTTGTTTGCTCGTTGTTGTTGTTACTTTTTATCTCTTTGATTGAATTCCAGCAGAAGGAATTCAAACGCGAATGGATTTAGATCCGTTCGAATTTAATAAAAAAATAAACCCAAGAATATGCGACGACAATTAGTCTAAACGTGGAGTGTAATTGAATTCAATGGAATAAAGTTTTTTTTCTTGTTGTTCTTGTTGCAAATGGCAACAAAGTGACGACCAGTTCAATCAAATCCTTAATTTGGATGTCAGTGAATGGATCGTTTCCCAAGGGAATTGCAGTTTGAACGAAACGCAAATTCTATTGTAGAAAATCAACTTTTCATTGACAGAATTTTTAAAGTTGTGCTTCTTAAAATTTTATTTTTATAATGAAATTTTATGCTTATATACATTTCTGATTGTAAATTAAAAAAAAAACTAAATTTGTTATTTGTATGCAACACAATTCAGAATTAAATAAAGATTGTTTGAAGATTATATTAATATTAATTAAACACGAGAATGTTCTATTGAAAAAATATTTTATTTGTAATTAAGAAGAAAAAAAATCTGAATTTCAACGTAATTATTGCCATCGTTATCGTTTTCCTTGATATTCCGACCTCTAGAATATTTGAAAAGACTTCTGATGTCTGGAGAAGTGAAGTAGTTTGTGCGCTTTTTTTGCAGTCTCTTTACTCCTGATCGCTTTGTTTTTTTTTTCACGTTTATCTTTTAACAATAAAATTTTATGTGCGTTAGAACTGTAAATCATTGCTAATTGCACTTTTGTAACGTTTCGCATTGCGCTTAGGTATCATTACTATTGGGTTTCCTCTCCTTTCACATTTCATTGAACGCGACCACACGACTTGATGAGTGCAGCAAGATATATATATATATATTTGTCATTTGCGCACAGTTTGAAATATCGTCGGTAATCGTCAAAATTTTAATGGAAAATATTACAAAACAAGATTTTATTTAAAGTTCCTACATTCACAATTGATCGCAGCAATAATTTATGCGTGTTTTTCATCATTAGAAATGTTGTTAATTTGAAATATAGTAATTAATGTTATTAATATATATATATTTTAATAGTAATAGTATTATTATGACTTGAATCAGCAAAGGTTATTCTCGGTTCTTAGCTACGTTTTGAACTGGACGATGCAAGTTGCGGCAGGCCAAAAACTGGACTCCGGGCAAAATCGTCCTGACGATCTCGACTTATTGATTCACTAACGAACACATGCATCCGTCCCGTACAAACATTCCATTTTAATTACGCACTTTTCTTGTTCATAATATAAAAAAAAGTAAACGCAAGTACGGAAAAAGTGTTTTGATTAAATTTCAGAAGTCTCTAATTGGACGTAATTCTCACCTTGTTTCTTACGAGCTGTGTAAAAACTATATGATATTGAAAAAAATATACATTGTCAATGAATTATAAATATTTAGTAATTTGATATACTTATCAATTAAGATAATATATTTTATAGTCAGAGTTCTATTTTTCATGAGTTATATATTTCGTAGTAAAGTTAATTTATGAAATCTTGAGACAAGGAGGAATTTTTGAAAAGCATCACATCCCGTTTTGTCCACAATAACAACTATATATTGTAATTTAATATAAGAAAGGTATTTAATTTTTTATATATAAACAATAAAGTTTACTATTTTATTAAAAAAAATAAATGAATCAAAATACTTTCAAACTTTAAGTTTTTTCAATGTTATATGCTTTTACATTCATTTATTACACTCGTATTTAAATAAATTAAATAAGTTTTACTTATAAACACAAAAAAAGTATATTTTTTAGTGTTTCTGTGAAATAATAAAGTTTACTTTTCTTTTCAAAAAAATGTTTATGAATGAATAAAAATACTTTCAATACATTTAGTATTTTCAATGTTATGCGCTTTTACATTCATGTTTCAATAAATTAAATAATTTTTAGCTATAAACACACAAACAGTATATTTTTTAGTGTTACTAAATTTTAATTTACAAATTTCGAATGAATACAACATTGTAAATAAACAAAAACATTATTATAAGAGAGCTAATTCTTGATATGTTATTGTTTAATAGTTTTTAGAGAAAATGAAATTAGGTTGCGTGTATGAGGAAAGAAAAATGCAATAACTAGCCATAAATAAAGTTGAAGAAATGGAAAGGACATTTCGCGCTGTACGAATCTATCGCGTCTGGTAAATATTCCAGTTTCTTTTGTAAGTGAGTCCTTTGCGAATTACGAACATAAATCATCGGATCTTTTTCCGCCCATTTCTTCCTTCTCCCCCTTCAATTCTGCTGCCATTTCTTTCGTTCGGGTTTTAATTCAAGCGTTACGTGTGCGTATGTAAAAGGGGAGGGCGCGACACATAAATCTGGACGTCGGAGCTGGACGGAAACTGTGTAGCAGCAAAAGAAAAATCAAAGAAATCTTGTCCGTTACACATATTTCCCGATGGATTTATATATGACTACTACTATGTGTCGCCGTGCAAGTGAGTAGCTACCTGGTAGCTCTAGCATTGCACGGCGCGGACGGAGAGTTCTACGGGGCTTGATTAATATCCGTGCACGAGATTTATTCCAATTGGATAACAGAAAACCAAACTAACGAGTCACCAGCATTTTATTGAATTATTAACTGCCGCCAACATTGACACTGATCTCTCAACTGAATCTACCGGGAACGAAAGGAGCTGAAATCAAAGAAAGAAATATGATTTCTTCCCTCGGCTACGGATTCCTGCACGATTCTTATCTCCGAGTTACTGTTAACATATCTAAACATCATTTCAACAGCCGAACACGTTGAAATTACGGAATTCAGTTTTTCTTTTAAATTTCAAAGAAATAATAAAATATTGCTACCATTATATAATTACATAAATATAGACAGACAAATTTATTAATCTTTACAGAAATTATTAAAATTTTAATTTACACATTTATTTTTCTAATTTCTCTGGTTTTTTTTATATTATATACCTAAATGTACCGAATTTCGTCTACAATTCTAATTTATTAAAAATCATTTATCAAACATATAATCATGTCAAAAAAGATTTTCCTTATATTCCTTTTTTGTGTCAATTGACTGTGATGATGTATTAAACTTTTTATTATCGATTGAATAAATATCAAAATCAAAATTGTAATCAGATGAAAGAAGCGTCGAAAATATGATTAAATAATCTTGAATTTAAAAAAAAAAGTTGTGCATTCCTTAATTTGGCATTTCGTTATTAACGGCATTTTGCACGTAAGTTTTGAAAGTTTTACGCGAATAAAAATCGCGTTTTATAATTCCTCCTGCGTTTTTCTTTCTTTTGGGACTACTTTATGGAGACCATCTGCGGCGTGCATGTAATTTTTTTATGCGTGGCGCTTGATGCTTAAAAATCTTTGAGACAATTTTCTGGGCCAATTAAAAGGAGCGAGAGGACAGAACAGATGGACGGATCGCGTTTAAAAAGTATACGAAAACAAACAAACAACACAAAAAAAGACAGACGACCGGTTGCGGTGGCGTTGCGTAACGTCGCGAAATTTTCTCCACCTGCGATTCATTACTAACCGGTGATGAACGCGTAGAACCGGAAAACGAGAGATTTTCATTTTAAATGGTATATTCAGCGTCGAATCTTTTGCATAGCTGAAGAGAGACTAGTTTATTGCTCGCAAAGTTCTTTAATTGAGTCGGGTTTATTGCCGGGATGAAGGTGTCTTGTTGCTTCGTTCGGAGCATACCAGCAATCTTTTTCCATCAATTTGCATGCCCTCGACTCGACTCCGATAATATTTTATTTGGCTATTGATTTTAATGGCTCTTAATTTTACGACCGCTAAAGCCCTACGATAAATAACGCTGCTCCTTCCGATCAATTAAGCGCGCGCCAAATTAGCCGCTCTTTCGCTACGCTCGGTTTTATTGGCCTAGGCACGTCTCGTCTCTCACCAATCCACAGAGTTCCCCATTCATACCGAATGTTTACACTTCCTCCTCGAGTGGACTACATTAGCTTCTGATTGCGGTAGCATTGTGCGTCGGTAGTACGACGTCAATATTTGTGGTACAAACATTTAGAGAATGACCATAATAAATCTCTCGACAAACAATTAAAAGAAAAACAACGAATAAACAAACATAAAGAAACCTTTTCTTTCATTGAACAAACTAAGTGTGTCGGACCCGACCCGGAGGGCTTTCATTCTCATCGGTTTACTTCTTACCGTACTCCCGCCGCCCGCGTCCGTCTTAGAAATCTTCTCGGTAACGGCCGAAACGTGATAATTGATTCCGCCATATAGTTTTAATTAATCGCCGTTAAATGAGTTAAACGCGAGGAGACAGGCAAAAGCAAAAAGGAACGAAAGAGAGAAACGCGATTGCCGTCGAATCAATATGCCGAGGAGCGAGGCGCAGTTTAATAAATTTGGTTTTGAAATTCACCGGAAGCCATCGCCGTCGTCGTTGTCTTACCGACATTGAATTTCAAATCGCATCACGCGCCGCATTTTTTTTTCATACGGACTCCATTAGCTTAATTTGTATTTGGATATTATTTGTACGGTCGGACAATATTAAAAGACACATAATGTTTGCGCTTCGCGCTTAAGTGCTCTGACCTTATCAAAATGAACCTAATTTCAATTAATTTCACTAACAAATTATTATAAATTTATTGAGTGTAGACCCAAAAGAACAAACATATTTCTGGAATTAATTGTATAAGTACGACAGAATAAAGTTTTGATGTATACCTAATTTAAAAATTCTCCGTTTTTCATCTGAAAACTATATATTTCAATAATATTATGGAATAAACCAATTAATTACATAACTAACTATATTATAATATTACTAATTGAATATTGTTATCAGATATATCTTTAATAAATCGCTATTAGATTTATAAAAAAAAAACACTATTCGTTTGAAGGGTAAATAAATAAATTATTGATAAAACATTTCATTTTGCTTAATTTTTATTAATGTTAATAATTTTAAGAAAGTTATTTTACTAAATAAATTGAACGCAAACGCTCGGATTCTCAAGTAAGATAAACAATTATTGTTGACGCTTACCGAAAGGTTGGTTTATTCAACGTATATTTTACTTTCTATGATAAAAATATAAGTTTTCATTAAAATAAATAAATTGAAAATGAAATATTTATTACAATAATTGTTCCCTATTGTATAACTTGAATAAAATACTATTTTATAAAAAATCGAATCTTATTCAACTGATAATTATTAACTTTATGTGTGTGTAATATTTTAATAAACTTGAAACAATTTCTTCTTTTAACTTGATTGATTGATTGCAGTGCAAATGTTATGCCCATAATGAATTGTAAATAAATGCAGCGAAAACCGATTCGTAATACGGATGTAAATATCGCTTTTTTTTATGTAAATAGTGAAAGAAAAACGAAATAGTTGACTTTTAATTAATATGGAGTGCATATAAGTGTGGGAATGGTTTCAGACTGTGTCTAGTTACGGAATGCCTCTGCATGGAGACATGTAATTAAAACAACAACAAAAAACTGCAGGAAACAAAAGAAAACGTGCCACACATATTTTGTAATTAACGAATATTGGTCAGTGACTAAGAATACAAAATAAATGCATTTATTATTTTGTAAAATTACTAGAATTTTATGCTATGAATTACGCATGTTAGAAATAGTTTAAAAGGAAAGAAATTCTATAAAATTTATGTTTTATTTGAATTATTTATGTTGAAATAAATATGTCGTGGCAAAATAACTTTAAAAGTGTAATTAAGCATTTGTATTAAATAATTTCAAATGATAAAATCGAATGTGTTGAAAAGTTCATATTTATTTTAAACTATGATACTTTATGATACCAATGAACACATATATTCGTTAATTAATTACGTCGGATAATTTTTCGTCGATTAATTAAAATTAATTTTTTTTTTTTGTAACTATAATTTATTCCAACCATAAAAATGTCTAACTTAATTAAATTAGAATCTTATAAAATAGCCTCCGGATCATAAATATGCTGATTATTACATATAAATATTCAATAAAAATATATAGTTCATTAGAAAGAGTTATAAAAATATTGAATAATAATTTGATTGCAGTGGGCGTAAATCATAGGTTTTTCTAAATATTATTGTGATTTATGGTAATATTGAAAATGATTGAATGTTATTAATAGAGTCGATGCACAATTTCTTCTTATTCCTTTAAGTAGTATATTTAAAATCGATAATTGCAATTATTGCTCTATAATATTGTTGCTTTATTACGCTTTGTTTTGGTTACACTCTTAACAATATGAATGTTGAAAACTAACAATATGTTTCTGGATTTGAATAAGTTACCTATAGATATTTCAGTATTTTTTAAAATTATTTGTTAAATGCAATAATTGAATTGTAATTTTGGTTAATTATTTAGAAAATATTGTCTTTACCTTTATGCGTTGATGTTGCGGTCCGCGATTTCTTCTCTCTTGCCTTTGGTCCTGTGTCTCCCTCTCACTCTTTCTCGCACTCCTCCTTCGGACGCTGGTCCTTCTTTTCCTTCTCCATCGTGCTCTCGTAGTTCAGCTCTTCCATCTCTCTCGGCCGTTGTTGTGGTGAGCGCGGGCGGGCGGGCGGAGCCGGGATGAAGAGGAGGAGGGCCGCGGCGCGGCGACCGCCAGAGCGCACCTGTTCACGTTTCACCCTCTGATGGGGTGCAGAAGAGGACCTGGGGGATGCCGCCACCGCCTGCCGCCTTTTTGCGTCGCACCCGCCCTTGGGGCGTCGAAGAATGACGCCGACCGGTCACCGGCGCCGCCACCAGAACCCTCTGCGCTCACAGATGGTCACCTGCGGCGCTCGCAGAGCGATCCGGCGGCGAAGTCCATCCGGGCGAAAACGCAGATTGCGCGCTTTTTTTCGAAAAAAAAAAATATAAAGTAATGGATAATAAAAATGATTTTTCAAAGGAAACTTATTGCAAATTGGGGGGAAAATGTTTGAAGTACTCACCCCGCGGACCTGTTGCTGCTGATCAATGCTGGTTGGTTGGTTGGTGTCGAGTTGTTGATGGGCTCGAAGGCGATGGTATACTGGCTGATGGTCGTTCTGTCCACATGAGTCAGTGGCGGCGGTGTTGATCGACCGCAGCCGAGGATCCGAAGGAAGGAAACGCGCCGGTTGACCATAGTTGGGCATCGTCCCATATATGGGTCTGGCATTGTTACATTGCCTACCAACAACCAACACCACATACTTACTACCACTGCCACCGTGTTGCTGTTGTTACCATCACTACTACCACCTCCGATCGACACGACGGGGGTAGGTAGGCCCTGTCTTGTTTCCATCACAACCCACAACTGCCTCCTCCATCTCTTCTCTCTTACTATCTCAACAAAAAATATCCATTTTACGCGCAGCATTCGATTGACTTTCGTACTTAACCAACTTATCAATATTTTATCAGTATTTAATTTTTACATAAACAAATATTAGCATATCTCAATATTTTTTTAAAATTATGTAACAATATATTATCCATATTTATTAATGCATATAGTACATATACAACACATATATCAATATTTTCAGGCTTTTTTTTTAATAAAAAATATATTCAAAATACAAGCATGTACCATGTAGATTCTATATGATCATAGTTTAAATATTTTAAGTCAGATATTAAAGTAACATAGTATATTACTATGTGAAGTGCGTAATAAAGAATTACATTTGTTACAATTTTTCAACAATAATTATTTTTAATAATATCAAAACATCATTATGTCTAACGAGGACAAAAGTGTAAAAATATATGCGTATTAGATACTTAATAAGTATATTTAGCTAATTGCTATATTGTTGGAAACTAATATTAGTTATAAGTTAATTAGACCATTATAGTTTACACTAATGACAAACATTTCTAAGTTAGTTTATTTTAAATGAATTTTGATTGGACTAAATCACAAAAAAGAATTCTTTACAGCGTGCGATGATGCGATTTTTTTTTTCATTTTTTTTTGTAGCCTTGTCATCTCTCGTAAAGTATATTTTAATTAGCGTTAGGACTAGAAACATTAACTCCATTAGTAAATTGCGGTTTTCCTTAAACTCTTTCCTCCTTCTCAATTTCCTACAAATCTTTCCGCATTAGGCATAGCCAGTGTATATGGATATTCTCTATTTAGTTGTCTTCGTCATTAAAGAAAGACACTTTCATTGCGTTAATTTGAAATTAACTCCGTATTGTTCTTTTTTTCTTTCTTTCGAATGAATACTTCCTGTCGCATGTATAAAAATACACTTATTCTACACATCAATTTCACTAAGAAATAATATAAAGTTTTATTATCCTCGACGCTGATGCCTTTCTGCATTAAGACGTACGAATGTTCATAATTAAATAAAGATTTTCTGTAAAACAAAAGTTTAATTAAATAGTTATTTTTTTATATATCTAAATTATAATAATTAACCAGTATTAGGTTTTTTAATAAATACAAAAATCCAAACTATTTCAGATCAGACTTGAAAGTAATTTCTGTAAAATAAACGATTTTAGTATTTGTATAATAACCCAAATACTAAAATCTCAGTTTAATAAAACTGATGCTTTTGATTTATAGACTTACTAATGCTTTTTTTCCTAAGTTTATTTTGATTTAGTAGTTCCCGTGTATACTTATATACGATGATCTATAGAATTTGATGAAATTGTGTATACTTTTCGACATACGATTTTCCATAATTATTTGATATTGATTCAAATAGATTGAAAATTAACTTTATACAATATTTGTTTTTATGCATATATTTTTTTTAATATTTACTATTTTTTTAACATTATTTTATTTTTAATTTATTTTTTTTAAGTAATTATTGATTATTTTAAGAATTAATTATTATTTTAATATTCTTTTTGTACAAAAGTTATTCAATTTAAATTAGTTACTTATAGTATGATTCTATAAGTAACTAATTTAAGTAACTATATTAAGTTTTTCAATATTACATAAAATATACATAATAATTACATAATATACACGGTTTAAATATTTTGCAAACATATATGATCTTTATTTATATAATATTATTTTAAGAGAAATTAAGCATTTTATCAACATGTGTATTACAACAACTAACTAACTTGTCCAATTTCGAATCGTGTACGAAATTGGAAAAGTTATCACAAATTCTTACAATTTATTGCACAAGATTGAATGGGTGATTTTTATCAACTAAAGGAAATTATAAAATAACTAAATGGCCACATACTAAATTTATTTGATTTTAACTGAATCTACATTAATTTTCTTAGACAATTCTTGACGATAGTATTCATACAATATTTATTATTATAATAATTTTTATTATCTACTTAAGACAAGTACTATATTATATTTTAGAGCGTTTTAAATAAATGGACAACTTTCAATTAAAAAGGATTAATTATCAAATTTAATTTAAGTTGCCAGAACAACGGATCAAGTAGTGTTTAAAAAGAAAGAGGAGAATGTAGAGAAGGCAAGACAAAAAAACAGAAATGTGTATGTGTCGCGTCGTGTATTTTTCTGGTTGATCGGACAGCGGTCAGTTTTGCGCGCGACAACAACCACCTGCGCGCCACATTTTTATATGAAGACATTACATACTTAATAATCCGAGAAGTGACATACAGCTACGATTGACGTTTTCGCCGATCATTCGTGACACCTGAAAATGCCAATTGCTGATCAATCCAACGATCGTCGTTGTTTATCCGTCGGATTCGAGAAATAAAAGCAAAAAAATCGGCATCCACCTAGTATGCAAATCGGAGAAGAATTGGCCTACGCAATTCGATAAAGATAATATAATAAAATGGCCAATGGGAAACGATAAAACGTTACCATACTTACTTAGGTACGGATAAATCGGATACGTGACGAAACTGCAAAGAACAAACCAGCGGGGAGAACGGAGAGTGGCGTAAGAAGTAAAAGAAGAAGAATGGAGGAACGTGGAGTGGAGTAGAAGAAGAATGGCCGGGAATGTGGAATCGGAATCATTCCACTATTACCTTTATTATTTCTAAATCAAAAATCCCGCTGCCGGTCGCCTGTGCTGCAGTGCGGTGCTTCTCCCCCTCGTTACGCTCCTCGGCGACCTTTCTTCTTCTTCGCCTTACCCAGTGTTTCTTTACGCATACGCAAAAAGGAAGAGGACGAGAACAAGAAATGAGACAATGACCCATAAAAATCCGCGAACCAAAAAATAAAAGAGGATTAAGAGCGGCGCGTGCTATTGTTTCCAGAGCGCGGCCTCTTTAATCCCCCCTAGTGGCTAACTTCTTGTTTATATTCCTTTTGCTGCTGCAAACCAAAAGCCACCCTCCCTGCCGCCAGATCCTCTGAGGTTTTATGGAGTCACGGGCACTAATAAATTTGGGGACTCCAAAATATTATGACATTCAAAAGAACATTTCACTATTGATAATAATATAATCATAATCATTACTGATATGCATAATATACATAAAAAAAAACATACAAATTTCTGCCCATCACTGTCTTATCACTATCAAAAATAAATGTAAAATATTATAATTTAATACAAACATATTTATTAAAAAATATATTTAAATTGTCAAATTTAAATACCATATCCGACCGATTTTCATTTCGATTTTGATATTATATATGTTTATACAAAATAACAAAAAATATTCTTACATTAATATTAAATGAATTAAAACAAGTCCGGATCAAAAGAATCCAAGCCGCGCGAGGCCCATGTGTTCCTTAAACTTTAAACTTTTTAGTACATTATAAAAGAAAGTATCTTCCGCTAACCAATCCAGAAGTAGACGACTTCGCTTTACATTACTGACATAACCAACATAATTTATTTTAAGCTCTTCATTATTAAATACATTTCGCTGGAATGTATAAAACATAGAAATCATGTATTCTAATAATTTACAGATCAAAATTTATAATTATGTTTCGCTAATTACTTCAAATTTTAATGAATGATAATGATAATTAAATAATAATTTCAAAAAATATTATTACTAGAATAATATAATTTACTAAAACAAATCAATTTTACTGTTCTATATTGAAAATATTTAATTAAACCATTGTAAATTGTGATAAGACATTCATGTTCTCATTTCGAAATGAGATTTTATAATTATTTCCAAAATGTTGTTATATTTATCCAATACAAATTTGCGTTTATAGTAAAGTAATTTTTATGTGTTTGCCATATCTACTAATTTTAGTGACAATAATCCATGCTCATATTTTACAATTAAACATCTGTATGATATGTATATATTTTTATAGTAATGTTTATAAACCATCAAAGTACAGTAGAACCTCGCTTAACGAGCAAAATAAATTGTAAGAAATGTGACTCCAAAAATTTTGGAACGATTTTTTGATAATATCTTGTTAATTTTTTTTCTTTTTAAATAATAATTCCAGCCGAATATTTACAAATCATGATCATGACTAGTGCAAATAATAATTCTCAATGATGATTTCCGGAATGATTTCAAATTGAATTTATATTAGTTGTTGTTTTTTTTCATATAGACCATTTTTTATTGTTAATTTTCGTTGTTATTTATTTCATTTAATTCGTGCGAAAATCGATTTCTCTAAATAATGCACGCCGCCATCGATTTATTTATTATTTACACCTGCGCGCCCGTTATACCACTCTCCGCCTTAAATAAATATCTGCAAATAAATAAAACGCTTAATTGCGATGATTAATCGGGTCGCGTGTCCCGTTTTTTTTTCCTTCTTTTTCTTCACTCACATATATATTTTTTCCCTCTTCGTATATGTTCCCTGCGCAGCGCGAGAAACTTTTAATTCCGGGCGACCCCCTTCGGTGCCTTCTCCAATTGCCCGTTCTCTCCAGGTACAAATTGTTGCACCGAATTGCTGACCTCCATTATCATTGTTCGTTTGATTTTCAATTTTTACTTTTCTGCCTTCAGACCACCAACGTACTGGATACACCTCATTATCACATTACATAATTCTTAAATTATTGTTTTGTTGTTCTTCGTTGTTTTTCATCAAATTTAAAATAATAATTTGTATCACATACAATTATTTTGGATCGATTCACATATTTCGATACAATATTTCCAAAAATATTATTTTTATTAAATACCATAACAAACTTAAGGTTTGATTGGTAATTATTAATTTATGTTCTAATATAATATAATAGGGAAAATTATCGAAGAATACCGTGTAAAAAGAATAATAAATATTTTCAGATGTGAAGTGCAGAAACAATCTGTTCATCTAAAAGGAAATTGCGTGCGATAAAAATGTTGCCTATTTATACGAAGATTTAT